GCAGGAGCGGAACGAAGTACGGTCGGGGCTGCGCGGCGACGCCAGAAACAGCAGGAACAGCACCAGTACCCCCAGCAGGAGCACCCACTCCAGCAGCTCCAGCAAATTTAATAACTACACTACAGCTAGAACTACATGCAGTTATAATAAATATAATTCTGACATCCCCCCGTAACTGCATGCTGGAATAGCTAAGTGCCGAGCACAACCTGCAGAGGTACACCAACGAGCAATAAAACAAGCAACAGCAGGTACTGCAGGCGGGCTAACTTTGAAAGGTTACCCCCTCCATCTCCTCACCCTCCTCCTTCCCCTCCCCCACACTGCTGCAGAAGCAGCAGAGAAGGGGGGAAGAGAGGAGAGGTGGAGGGACGGCTGCTTGTTGCCTCACACCCGCCCCCCCGGTACCACTCCCCCTGCTCACCCACATCCTCACACCCTCCCCCCCCAGCGGCAGCTGCAGCGGTGGGACTGAAAGAAGGAGGAGGGGAAGGGAGAGAGTTGACCCCACGCTCCAACACCCTCCACCCCCATACCCTCCTCCCCACGGCTGCAGGGAGACAAGAGAAAGGGGGGGGTGGGAAGGAAGAAAGCCGCAGAGCGGCGAAGAGGCGTCGGTGCAGATGGGTCAGGGGCGGCAGCAGGGAGTGCAGGGGCGGAAAGGCCCGTCGCGGGCCAGTGCCACGGGGCGCACGACGGGTAGGATAAAAGGGCCCGATCGTGTGCCTCGGGGCGCACGACGAGCAGGGCACCATCGTGTGCCTCGGGGCGCACGATGGGCAGATAAAGGGCACCGTCGCGTGCCACGGGGCGCGCGACGGGCAGGGTAGGAGTCACACGCCCGTGGGCGGGACAAGGTAAAGAATAAAATCGTCACGCGCCCTAGGCGCGCGACCGTAAAATTTTAGCAGCGGAAGTAAAGCGGGCCCACAGGCCAGGACGAACTCAGCTCCGATAACATGTGAAGAAGTGAACGAGAGAATCAGTGAACTATGAACGAAGTGAGTACAAATAGGAAACCCTAACTGGGTTGTACCCCCTATGGGATACCCCACTATAGCCTACACAAATGAGTAAGCTATAATGTTCTGAGATAGATTGCGATGCCAGACGTATCGAGTGGCAGCGTTGATGTGTCAGAGTCCCAACCACTAGACCATTGGGATAAAAGGGCTTGTTTCAGTAGCGGGTCAGTGCGCCCATAACCCCCCAGGCAAACGTGCATGTAACCCCCCCTAAGATCGATCGGGGATCTCACAGTGTAGCTCTACTGACACCCCCCCACACTGGGAGGCCCAGGACTGAGGAGAGTGGCAACGGCCAACATGTGCATACACCGGGATTCGAACCCGAGACCGCTCTTATTCCATGTCAGAGTCCCAACCACTAGACCATTGAGATAAAAGGGCTTGTTTCAGTAGCGGGTCAGTGCGCCCATAACCCCCCAGGCAAACGTGCCTGTAACCCCCCCTAAGATCGATCGGGGATCTCACAGTGTAGCTCTACTGACACGATGAAGGTGATGGTGTAGTTGTAGGTGACTTGTCCGGGTTCGCGATTGTAGAGGATGTCGCTGTAGACCTTTTTGAGTGGTGCGTACGCTGGAGCGCTCGGGTTGTGATGTGGAGCGAACGGTCGATGAGGTAAGTCAGCTTCGGGGCATATAAGGCAAGTCCCTCGTGCCTTCTGGAGTTCTCTGCCATCGGGTAGAAGTAGGGAGTCTTTGTCAAGAACTCCTGCTCTTATCGTGTTATTTAAAACCGTGTTGCTTGGATGTCCTGTGCGTGCGTGCCAGATCTCTTCAGAGGCGCGGTGTCCGGGTGAACGTTGGTATGCGTCGGAGTTGGAGTAAAAACTGGCGACGAAGTTGGCGCTTCGGTGGACTTCGCGTTGGGTCGGATTCAGCTGTTGTGCGGGTGTTGGTGGTGCTTCGTCGACTGTGACTGGTGTCGTTGTTCCTGCTGCTGCTGATGTTGTCGCTGCTCCCGATGTTGTTGCTGCTGCTGCCGATGTTGTCTCTGCTTCTGTTGTTTGTTGAATCGTCGCTAACGCTCGTGTTCGTTCTGCTTCAGGGATAGTGTGGGAGTACCAAAAACCTCCCGGGCTGAAGTCGGGGTCGAGATCTGGAGGGTGTGTCCAGTCAGTAAAATTCACGATGGCGTCGCTGTCTGTAGTGCCCAGGTCAGGAACGAAGTCGAGGACGAAGACGTTGTTCTTCAGCACTGCCTTCCCGATGTAGAGGCCGCCTCTCCCGTGGTATAGCTTGAACTCCTGGGTGGTGCTGTCGGCTTCCAGGTGAATCCCTTTCGCCATCAGCTGGCTAACACTCAGTAAGTTGTAGCCGAGTCCTTCAGCGATGAGTACCTTTGACATGTGCAGTATGACATTTGTTTCTCTTGACTGAAGCTGTACCACTCCTTGTCGTCGTGTGCGCAGGTTTTGATTGTTGGCGACCGTGATGATCACTTCTCGTTGGAGTCGATGTTCGCGTTGTACGAAGCGCCCGGACGAGCACATGTGTTGCCCACAACAACTATCCAAGAACCAAGTGTCTTTGCCGGACGGTTCACTTTGAGCGATGGCGGCGTAAGTCGGATTTGGGTGGAGTGATTCGCGACGAGGCGTCCTGTTATCGAGCTCCTCTTCTGGTGAGTAATGGGGTGGTGACTCTGTTATGCAAGAATCGTTTATCTTTACCATGCAGTTGACTATGTTTCTTGCTCCTTGTGCAGGTTGTCCAGTTGAAGTCGTTGAAGCTTGAATCGTTGTTGTCGGACTTGCTTGCGTTGAAGCAACTTGTGAGCTTGAAGGCCGCAGTTGTCGCTGTGGTGTTGTCTGACGAGACGGGCAATGCGTGCGTGGGTGTCCTGATGTCTTGCAGATGTGACAAAACGGAGGTACTGGCTTCGGCTGTTGCTGTCGGTTGTTGTAGTTGTTGTGTCGTCGTTGAATATGGAAAGCGAACTCCGGTGCTAATGCCCTTTTCTTGTGCCTTTCTTCTTGCAGGTCCATATCCTGCTGCTCGGCGTGGATTTCGGCGCAGAGTGCCGCTTCGGAGATCCTCCCGTGTGCTCGAAGAATTGCTTTGGTGGCGCGCCACTGAGGACCGAGGCCACCGATGACGACTGTTACGAAGGCGTCTTCAGAGATTGATCCTCCGCATCGAAGAAGCTTGTCGCGCAATTCGCGACATCGGCTGATATACGCCAACCCCTTTTCTCCTAGTTTCATTTCAACTGTTGTCAACTGCGCCATTAACCTGCTCTGGTTTACACTGTCTGTTGCCTGATACAGGTTCTTCAGATGGCCGTACGCGAGTTCCGCCGAGTTGCCGAAGTTCCGGTAAGAGCGAATGTTCTGCTGCTGAGTTGGTGTGATGTTTCTCAGTAGAATAGTATACGCCATCATCGATTGATACGTATACTGCTGCTTCTCATACTGTGTGCCGTTTGCTGGATACTGCAGGGATCCGTCGAAGAAGCCGAGTATCTGCGCGCCCTCCATCATCAGCTCGAATTCAAAGGACCAGGTGAAGAAGTCCTTTCCGTCGAAAGGTCTTGATGTTTGCAGTTTCAGGACATGCGCGAATTGCGACTGAACTTGTAAAGCGTCCATTGGTTTGTCTTGCGCAGGTGAAGGTTGAGGCAGGAAGCTGATCGACCCGCGCTCGTACGGGGCGAAGGTGGGTTGCTGCTGTTGATTCCCTCGCGCATATGACGACCCGTCAAGGCTCATGGGTGTTGCTCCGTTGTTGCTGTTGTGTGTCTGTGCAGGTCCCGACTGCTGGTGTTGCTCGTAGAAGGACATGAAGGAGAAGAATTTCTCCATCATGCTCTGGTCGAAGTCAGAAGGATGGTTCGTGGGGGTCTCGGTTGACGTTCCCCTTGGTCTTGCTGCCGTGCCTTCCTCTGTCTGCAGGCCAGAGGCTGGCGGTGGAGTAGGAGTAGTGCCCGAGGAGCCATTAGGGGAGCTCCTTTCCTTCTTTGTTGCCATGTCTTGTAATGACCTTAAAAAAAAGTTAGAGTTTTCCCCTGTCAGCTCTCATACCATGTTGGGCTGAGAAAGCCCTTAAGGATCTTTGCAGAGGGTGACTCTGGGTAAGAAACTTTGTAATAGCGGAAGCGTTTAATGAAACTTGTGAACCGACCTTGCGCTAGTGTGTGAGAGCAAAGTGGATTAAATTAAACAAGCAAATACAAAGTTTTATATAAGAGTACAGGAAATACGAATGGATAGATAACTGTATTTGCTGTTGCGATTCGATACAGTGCGACTCGGGCAACTGCTCTGTAACGAGTCAGTTGTGTGCCCTTAACTGTCGCGCTGTAATTGTCGAGTCAAAGGTCGCTGACCTTTGACTTTCCCGTAACCTCCAGGCGGTTACCCTAACCTCCGAGGTTTGACTCGATGCTTCGATTCGGACTGCTTCGCTAGTGTCTTGGGTTTTGACACGACAGAAGCGCACTAAGACTTATTGTTTCCAACACACCCAACCTTGCATTATCACGTGCCTTCATTTTATTATCAGTTCATTGAGTCACAACTTCTATAATCTTTTCCGTGCAACTCTGTTTTAGAGTAACACATTGTACTCGTGCAATACTAATGCTTATCAATCCCACAAACTATTTGCTTTTCAGACTCGCATAGCCCTCCACCGCGACTTGAGAATTAGTTAGCCGCACATGCCTGCGTCGCAAGCGGCAGCGTCCACAGCGAGTCAGTGGCATTATGTCGCGCTCGCCGCTGCCACATCCGCCTTGTTCACCTTTTGGATCGCTTTGCAACTGACCGGTCCCTCGACCGGCCTGCCGCCTGGTGAATTCCGCGCCGCCGCGGGAACACCGCAGGTCGACGCGGCCTTTGATCATGCGACGCGAAAGTATGTTAAAAATCGAGCTGAACGTGTGAACGCCGATGATGACGATAACGGTCGTGACAACCTTGCGTCACTTAATCATCTGTCGTTATGCGCGCGCGGCGCGAAGATCCGGCTGTGCATGGGCAGCCCGACCGCGCCGTTCGCGCAGGGAACGTTCGTGACGCAGCCAATCGTCATGGAGGAAAAGAAAGGCGCGGCCGCGAGCAATCAGTACGCGCAGCTGACCGTGTTCGAAGCAGAGGCTCGGCACGGCGAACCTGTCGTGAAAGCAGACTCGGGGGAGCCGCAGCGGCGAGGCAGGAGCAGGGAGACGACATTAAGGCTGCTTGCCTTTTTGGAGGATGACGAATCCATTATAAGAACGCAATGGAAAGGGTGGGGAGAGGCGCAGTTCAGCGAGCTGTTATCCAAGGGAGAGCTCAAGCTTAAATGCCACATATGGCCCGGTCACGACCCATATATCCAAGCGTTCGAGCCTGCTTATATCGTGGATGTGGTGCCAATTCGGAACTGGCACTGGTGGCACTTGATATTGGAATGCAAGATCCCATCATACATCCCAGTGAGTGAAGAACACTCGGCAAGGCTTGCAGGTGACGGGCTTGATGTAGTTCATGCTCCCTCCAACCTTTCCGGCACCTCCCCAACCGCCTCCCCTTCTCAACCCATCAACTCGACCTCATCCTCTGCGATTGGTTACGAGCGGTTGGGAACTGTGGAGGGGAGGCAGTGGGCGGTGCATAACTGGCAGCAGGTGCAGGTGCAGCTGGTGGCGGCAGAGGCCGGGGCAGACCTGCACATGCCACCGCTGCTGCTGTGCCGCGCTGACAATGACAAACACACCCTCGCCTCCTCCCCCCACTCACTCTCCCTCGCCTCCTCCAGCGAATCTGTTGCTGCTGCTGATGCTGCTGCCCTGCCTCTTTCTTTCTCCTCCCCACCGCCATTTCCATTCGCTCTAGTGGAAAGGGCACTGGTTGCTGCAGCCACAGCTGGGGGTGCTGGGACCGCTGGGGAGCCTGGAGGGGAGACTGCTGGGCGTGACGGGGTTGCTGCTGCCCCTGGTGCTGCTGGGGGTTCGAAAGAGGCTGGAGGGTCAGGTGGTGAGTCAGAACTGGCAATGTTCATGAAGGGGAGAGATGGAGGGGAGGATGGAGGAAAGCAAGGTACGAGGACTAGTGCTGAGGAGATGGGAAGTTTAGAGGATATGCTGGTGAAATATGAAGATGAAGCAGATGAGGATGAAGCAGATGGGGATGACGGGGTGAGCTGGGAGGAGTCTAGAGAAGGCGATGTCATGGCTAATTACTCAAATGCAGTGACCGCAGCAGCAGCACCAGCAGCAGCTGCTGCACCACCACCACCAACAGCAGCAGCAGCAGCAGCAGCAGCAGCAGCAGCAGCAGCAGCATCAGCAGCAGCAACTGAAAAGGCAGGCAGAGTCACCGGCGCATATCAAAGGCCGCGGCGGCGTAAACCAAAGAGCATGGGAGCAGTGAGCATCTGCCTGCGCCCCTTCCACACGCACCAGATGTTCTCCGACAACGTGGCCGTCTCCGATGACCGCCTGCTCGAGTGGATCGACGCGTCTCTCCTCATGGGCGTCGACCGCATCTACGTGTACGACCGCCACGCCACCGCCAAGCGCCACCTGCTGCTGCCATACATGGCCCGTGGACAGGTGGTGCACGTGCCGTTTCCCCCTTGGTCGGAGGTGTTCTATCGCCCGTGGCAGTTTGCTTGGAAGGGCAAAAATCCCTACGCGGTGAGTGCCTTGCTTGGTGTCTGTGGGGATGAGTGGTTGCTGGAGTGAATCCGCGCATCGCTGTCCCTGAGAGTGCATAGCCTGTGGCTCTGTGCATAGACGTGGTCTCAGTTCTTGGGTTCAACAGAATAGAAAAATACAACCTATACGCTACGCACAAGTGAGCCAAGCCAAGTCTGTCTACTGATTGGCAACCAAATTGTCGCGCGCCCGCGCGCGCGTGTGTGTGTGTGTGTGTGTATGTGTGTGTGTGTGTGTGTGTGCGTGCGTGTGTGTGTGTTTGTGTGTGTGTGTGTGTGTGCGTGTGCGTGTGTGCGTGCATGCGTGTGTGTTTGTGTGTGTGTGTGTTTTGCATGTCTAGTGTTTACAGACACGAGTGTGCCAAATTGGATTCATAACAAGCGTGGCATAGAACTTGGTTGGTATTTCTCTACCATCGTATTTTGAAGATATACCGAACAATTGTTGTGATTCTTCCAAAAAATATGTCCCAGTCGACCCACCCACCCCATGTTTCTTCACTTCATTCCCCCAACACCTCCCGCCCGCCCCCGACCCCTCGGTCTCTTCCCGTGCAGATTCCTGGAGAATGCACCATCCTCACACCCCCACTTCCACCATCCTCCCCCCCCTTCTCCTGCCCTTCCCCTCTTCTCCATGTGTCTTGACACGACCAGCTGATATGCAACGAGCACTGCATGCTTCTAATTTCTTGAGTTTACGCATTTACTACCCCAAAAAAAAATCACCACCCACTCTCTCCCCCCTCCAGCCCAACCCCACCCCCCCCCCCCCCCCCCCTCTCCCGCCTCTCCCTCCCTGTCTCCTTTCTTTCCCTTCCTCTCCCGCTCCCCTCCCCAGTTCCCAGATATATACGACCAGCTGATATCCTACGAGCACTGCATGATGCTTGGGCGGAGGTTCGGCGACAGGTGGCAGCTGCAGATAGACAGCGACGAGTTCGTCTGGTACGAGCCCAAGGCTGGGGCCTTCCTCAAGCCGCTTCTCGCAAGGATAGAGATCAACCACGCGCAAAGCAGCACGGAACCACTACGGGTGAGTTAAGGACTTTGTCTACTCTCTCTGCATGCCTCACGTTATTCCATTTCGCGCTTCATTCTTAGCATTTGCAAGGAACTATTGTGATGAGGAAGTTCATGTGATGAGGAAGTTCATGTGACAAATATGGTGTAGCACGGTTGCGGAAAGATGCAGGTCATGTGAAAACGAAAACACGACAATGCACATAGATTGGGAATGAGAAGGCATGTGGCACTAAGTGAGGCCAATATGGATAGAATCTTGTGGCACAGAGGTAGAGATGGAAAAGTGTGAGGAAGGGTGGGAAGGAAGTGATGAGTGGGAAGGAAATGGTGGAAGCGTAGGTCCAGGTTGTGATGCAGAACTGGCCATGTCCAGCCTTTACCCACGTGCCCTTTGTCTCCTCTCACCCGTTACCCATGGCAGGCCATTCAGTTGCGGCGGTTCAACTTCTGGGGAGTGACCAAGGAGACCCGGCAGCAGCGCGTGTCGGACCGCCTGATGTGGCGCTGCAGCTCACCCATGTTTGAGTCGAGACTCCGCCAATACCACGACAAGGTGGCCGTCAATCCCCACACCATCCTCCCCTAGTGAGTGCCGCCAGCCCACTGACCACTCACCCCTAGTGAGTGCTCTTCAACACAATCACTCCCCACTCTGTTTCCAGTATTTCCGTTCTTCACCCTTCCGTCCTGGTCGTGGTGTCAGCAGTCAGAGGTGTCACCGTGCTGCCAGATTGTTGCGTTGCCCCCACGTGCCACCCCTCTCGCATGCCGCCTGTCTCGTCCCTTGCAGCACGGTGGGCATTCATGACACCACGGCCCCAAAGAACGCCACAGCAGTGGCGCCACCGGAGGTGCTGCGGCTTAACCACTACACGGCAGTGGAGGTTGACTTCCACGCGCCCACCTGCAACTCCTCCATGCACGTCCTCGATGACCAAAGCCTCTTCTGGTCGCGCAACCGCACACTGGACTGCCGGGCACTGCCTTGTGGTGCCAGGGATAACCCACCCACCCCTGTGGAGTGCTGGCCCTTCTGCAAGCTGCCTTGGGACGGGCAGGGGTAGGAGTGTGGGGAAGCCTCGTTTTCTGCAGTGCCAAATCAGCAAGTTTTATCTTTCACGGTGTTCTAGCAAGCTCCTACACATAACAATGCCCTCTTACACATGAGGCAGGAGTAGGAGTGTGGGAGAGCCGCTTTTCCTCCATAGCCACGGCAGGATCTCATTGGTCAATCTTCTGTTGAACAATTTCGACATGCTCCCCCATTCCGCCCGCTCCCTTCATTCCCCCACTGCCCTGACGCGGAGACATTACCTTACAATTCTGCCAGTAACGTGCCAGTAGAATGTTCTCCATGCAATGAAGTAAACAGAGCTTAGGACGCGTGTCTTTTGGTGTAGAAGTTTGAAAAAAAGGTCGAACTTTTGCTGGTAACCAGCTTCGCCAATTTTGTGCAGAGCTATTGACGACGAACGTGTATCCAAGCTCAAAGTTGCTGAAACAGAAGGACGCTGAGCTAGGGTCGACCTCGCATTCAACTATCCCCGAGCACGTTTCTCCAATCGTGTGTTCTTCTGCCCACGCACGAAGAAGCTGCGATATTCGCGATGGTTACGAACCACATCGCGCCAGGTTACCACAGTTGAAAGTGCTAACGAACTTAACTGTATAGACAAGGTAACCTACGAAACTTGGCGCGACTCGGGTTTTACTGTACAAATTCGACCTTCGAAAGTCGAGCATTTCTTGTGCCATGACTTACTGGTGACTCTGGTGCTGCTGAGGATGCTGCACCTGGGGGTGCTGACTCGGGGGGTGCTGAGCCTAGGGGTGCTACGCATGGGGGTGCGGAGCCTGGGGGTGCGGAGCCTGAGGGAGCTAGGCCTGCTTGTGTCGCGTCTGGCGGTACTGTGCCTGGAGGTTCTCCGGGTGCTTCGTCTCGGCGGGAGCCACTCTCTCCACATGAGCTGCGCGAGTGGTTTGCCCGGCGCTGGAGGCGTGCTGCTGGAGCTGGAGGTTCTTCGGCTGCTGAGGGTGCTGCTGTCGCGGGTCCCGGAGGTGCTCGTACTAGGAGTACTGGAGCTGCTGGGCCTGCGGGTACGACTTGAGCTGGAGCTACTGAGGATGTTGGCGCTGAGGCTACTGCTGGCAGTCCTGCTGCGGGTGCTACTGGTGCTGCTGGAGGTAATGGAGCTACTTGAGCTGCTGGGGGTACTGGAGCTGGAGGTGCTGCTGGAGCGGGTGCTCCTGCTGGGGGTACTGGTGCTGTCCCTGCTGTGTCTGGAGTCGTCGCGCGGCCTCGACCGTACTTCGTTCCGCTCCTTCAGCAGGTTCTTGGTCTTCCGCCTTCTACTGGTCCTCCTCCTCCCTTAGAGGGTCCACAGCCTGTCCCGTCACAGTTACAGTTACAGCCGGCCTCCCCCTTGCCTGCTCCTTCTCCCTACACTGGTCCTACTGGATGTCTTGCTGAGCGTCGTGAGCCTGCGTCTCGCCCTGCGTCGCCTGTCCGTCCTGCTCGCACTAGTGGTCGTGGTTCGCGTCCGCGTCCTCCTCCTGTCCCTGGCAGGCACCGGATGTCTCTGCGTCCGTCCACTGCTCCTCTGCGTGCCCCTCTGCATTCTCCTCCTGAGTCCTCTCTTCCTGCTCTTCCCGACCCGGAGTCGGACTCTCTTCGTGCTGCCAGTCCTACTGTCACGCGTCTCCTTGCTACTGTCGTCACTGACCCTTCCGTTGAGTCCGCAACTGCGTCTGCCCTAGTTACTGAGCTCGTCGACTTTGCTGCTCGCTGTCGCCTAGACTACGCTGCTAGTCTTGTCGCTGAGTCAGCGTCTGTCTCTCGTCCGTCCGTCGGGGGTGAGTGTGCCCTTGGCACGGACGTCCTTGAGGACAGGCAGGAGGAGTTCCAGTGTCTGGCTGCTGCTTCACCTCATCTCGTGTCCGTACTGCTTACCCCTGAGGGAGACCCGGATGCACTTGACATCCTGAATCCGCGCTCTTACGCGGAGGCAATAGAGGGTCCCTACTCCTCTCAGTGGCAGGCAGCTATGGACACAGAGATGGCTTCCTGGAAGTCCACAGGCACCTACGTTGACGAGGCTCCCTCCGCCTGGGGTGAACATCGTCAGTGGCATGTGGATTTTCAGGGTGAAGCGGCCGCCGGGTTCTCCGCCTGTCTTCAAGGCGCGTTACGTGGCTCGTGGCTTTAGTCAGCGGCAGGGAGTTGACTACTTTCAGACCTTCTCTCCCACCCCGAAGATGACCACTCTTTGCGTATTGCTGGACGTAGCTGCTCACCGTGACTACGAGCTGCACTCTCTTAACTTCAGCACAACTTTCTTGCAGGGTAGCCTGCACGAAGAAATCTGGCTGCGCCGCCTACCTGGCTTCACTGGGTCTTTTCCTTCTGGCACCCAGTGGAGCCTCCGGCGGCCAGTCTACGGTCTCCGCCAGGCACCGCGTGAGTGGCACGACACACTGAGGACTACGCTTGCGGCTCTTGGGTTTGCTCCTTCTACTGCCGACCCGTCGCTGTTTCTGCGCACCGACACCTCTCTGCCGCCGTTCTACATCCTCGTGTACGTCGACGACTTGGTCTTTGCCACAGCTGACACTGCTCAACTCGCCCACGTGAAGTCCGAGCTGCAGAAGAGACACACGTGCACTGACCTGGGTGAACTGCGCAGCTACCTTGGCTTGCAGATCACCCGGGACAGAGCACGCCGCACCATTACCCTGACTCAGTCACACATGGTGCAGCAGGTCCTTCAGCGCTTCGGCTTCACGTACTCCTCGCCTCAGGCCACTCCTCTGCCTACTCGCCACTCGCTCTCAGCTCTGCCTTCGGATGAGTCCGTAGAGTCGAGTGGCCCGTATCCAGAGCTTGTTGGCTGCCTCATGTACCTGATGAACTGCACACGACCTGACATTGCACACCCTCTTAGCATTTTCGCACGCTATGTTGCTCCTGGGAGACACAGACTGGAGCACATGGCTGCAGCGAAGAGGGTGTTGCGCTACTTGTGCAGTACGTCGGGCATGGGGCTTGTGCTTGGAAGGCGGAGTCCAGTGGTCCTCACTGGGCACGCAGACGCTTCTTGGGCTGACGACCAGGCTACGCAGCGGTCGTCACAGGGTTACACCTTCAGCCTTGGTTCCGGCTCTGTCTCGTGGCGGGCTACCCGCTCGTCTTCTGTTCTCGGCTCCAGTTGTGAGGCTGAGATCTACGCAGGAGCCATGGCTGCACAGGAGCTTCGCTGGCTCACCTACCTTCTGACCGACCTCGGAGAGCCGCCTCGTTCTCCTCCAGTTCTGTACGTAGACAGCAAGGCCATGCTGGCCTTGTGTCGAGAGCAGAGACTGGAGCATAGAACAAAGCACATTGCTCTCCGCTACTTTCTTGCTCGTGAGCTACATCAGCGTGGTCAGTTGCAGCTTGCGTACGTGGCCTCTGAGGCCAACACTGCTGATATCTTCACCAAGGCACTTGCGCCTTGTGATCATCATTGCTTCTGTACTCAGCCGGGTCTTATGTCTGCCTTGCCTCACTTGCTCACCTCTTGACCTTGCTTGTATTGTTACATATATATATACTCCTGCTCTTGCTTATGTAGCCTTATATATATATATGTGTACTCCTGCATGTGAACTGGCCTTGTGGCCTTGAACTTGTGCTCGAGATGTGTGGTGACTTTGTGATCCACCCTGAGCTTGCTTTGCTTTGCTTGACTGGTCTTGTGACCCCTTGTTCTCCCCCACTTTGCCTATGGGGGTGTGTCAGAACATTATAGCTTATACTTTTGTGTAGGCTGTAGTGGGGTAGCCCATAAGGGGTACAACCCAATTAGGGTTAGTACTTGTACCCAACTGTTTCATAGTTGATTCATTCTCGTTTCAGTTTTCTCATGTACACGTAGTAGTCTACCCCGATAAGGAAAATTAAATTTCCTTACACTACCCACCCCCCCCCCTTTCTCCCCCCTTTTCCACCCAACCCCCCCCACTAAGAAAGGTGTTCAATATACACAGCTCGCATGCGGGCAAGGTAATCACCAAGAAGCGGAGAGGCTTCAAGCGACGTAATCACTCAGGTGTTGTTTTTAATCGTAAGGTCAGCCCATCGAACTAAAAGGTCCATGTGGCGGCCAGAAGCGGCGAGCCAAATGAGATGGGTTAGGATCTTCGAATGATCGAGCGTCGGTTCCGAGACAAGGCAAGCTATCGAGTCGGCGTTCTTGAGATAGTCAATCATCACTACCTAGTCCTTGAGATGCTATCCAGAGCGGTAGGTCCTTAGGACCTAAGATTCAAGCCCACCTGTTACTGCGTTACCTCACCTACAGCCTTTCCTGCCTGTCTGCCTTGCCTGCTGCCCGCGCGCACCTCGGCTGCACGCGAGCGTATTTTATTTTTAGCGCGCCCCGCTGCTGCAGCTCGCGCACAGCCCGCTGCAGCCTCGCGCGTCGCGCTACCTGCCTCAGCCGCCCGCGCGCCCGTTGCTACCTCGCACGCAGCCCGCAGCCGCGCGCAGCCCGCTGTCAAATGTTATATGCGCTACAGTTTGTTAAGGCTGTAGTGGGGTAGTTACTATGGGGTACAGTAAGTTTAGGGTTTCCTACTTGTACCCAACCCTTTTCCTAGTGAAATCACTCTAGTTCAATCTTTGCATGGTATTACGAGCCTAGGTTAGGAACCTGGGACCGCTTACTCCTAAGGGCCAGCCTTTCCGCTAGAAGCACCCTCGAGCGCCCTATGGCTTTAGCACCCTCGTGTGCCTCACTGCCAGTGCGCCCTCGCGCGCCTCTCTTTGTCTCGCTGCCCGTGCGCAGCACGCTAGCCGCCCACGCGCGACCCGTTTTTTCTAGCGCGCACAGCCCACTAGCCGCCCGCGCGCGGCCCGAGTCGCGCGCGCGTCGATCGTTAGCCGCCCGCGCGACCAGCGCAGCCCACGAGCAGCCTCGTTAGCCGCCCGACGACCCGCCCTGCTGGCCGCACAGCGCAATGTTAGAAAGAAGAAGTGTGTGAACTAGAAAGAGATCGGAGTACAAGTACCTAACCCTAGAATGAT